AAAATTTAAATAATAATAATTAATTTAAAAAATAATATATTTACATAGTAGGTATACCTCTAGTTCGCTAAATAAAAATTAAAAATAAATACTTATAGAATATAAACATATATTTGAAATTTGTTGATACACAAATATACAATTTTGGTAGTGTTATGCACTTATACCTAAAAGGCATTAGGTATATATGATGTCTTAATATGAATGTGATAAAATGGCTTGATTTTTTTTTTATGTAAGAAAAAAATCAATTATTTTTTTATGATATCTAACAGTAAGCTCAATATAATACAAGTATCATAATTTTGAAGAAACAAAAAAAAAATTGTTTTATATTTGTTATTTTAATTATTTTTTATACTTAAAGTGATCTTATTTTTAGTATTTTTTGTACCGGATTTATACAATCTTACACAAAAACTTTTACACGTCATTTTGATGAATTATAATGTATAACGGCGATGGTATATAAAATATTAATTTATTTTATGGTATAAAATTATACCATTATACCATTATATTACTATTATTATTATTTATTTTACTCAACTATAAGAATTAAATCTTATGATAATCAATACGTCCACAAGATATATGATGTGTGTTTTTAATTGAAAAACGAATGTCTTACGTTATAACATCTTGAGATAGTTAATATTATTTTACAAAATATAAATCATTAGTGAAATGTCATACTCTTTTATTAATTTGTGCCGAAATTGTTCACATGATGTATCCAAAAACTCGTTTAAAGAACTTGGTTTTATAGGTAAACCAACTTTTTTTAAATTTTCTATTGAGAAAATATAACCTTTAGAATATCTTAAAAAGAAAAAAAACAATAATAATAACATTATTAATTTTAATTAAAATTGTAATCAAATTGCTTACTTTTTCCATATATCATTCAACATTAAAATAGATTCATTAAAAATATATAAATTATCCTTTAGCTGATTTCTTTGAATAATAGCTGTTTGGTTCCATGGAATAGGACCTCGGATTTGCATTGAAAAATTTTTAGATCTATAGTAATTTGTTATTCCAATTCTTTTTAATTCACTTGGATCCATCAGTATATAATCTAGGATTATTTTTTTGCAAGCAAAATCATAATTATGTCTTATTTCATTTTCCATAAATGTCGTCAAAAAATAATACCTAGTTAAAATTGTTTATAAATCAGGTACATAAATAATAGGTTTATTAAATGCTTACTAAATTAAACGTAAAATTATTGACATTTCTAAACATATCGATTAATACATTATATGCTTAATTATTATTATATAGAAACAATATTATTTAGAAATTCAGAGTTTCTTTGTACTTATTAGGTTAATGCATTAATATTGGGTTTATATGGATATCTGCATGTTTTACTAGATAAATAATAAATATATTATACACAATAAACTTAATACATTATACAATTGACCGAACATTGAGTAAAGGTTCTATAAATTTTAAATATTTCACTTTATTAGACAAATTATTACAAAGTCCTTTGCAGAAAAATTATAAAATTTAAGTAATATTTATAAAATATTTTAGATATGTACTATATTGGGGACATTAATGCTATAAAAAACAATCTATAAATTGGATATGATTACTTTTTTATCAGATTCGGTTTAACACGATTTTCCTTTATATTTTCTAACAAATATTCTGGAAATGGATCATAAAAATCACTAGATATACCCTGGTGAATAAAATACAATAATTGAGTTAAGTGAGTAGCACAATAAACATTTCATGTACAACATTTAGTGAATTGATTAAAAATTAAAATGTAAATGAGTTTAAATTGTTTGTGATGATAAATAAATCATAATATGCAACGAGAAAATATTCTATACTGACTCACTTCATTCAAATAGTACTTAATTTTTTCTTTGTCTTCTTTACATATGGCGATTTCTACGCTTTTCTGTTTTCGCCATAAATCTTTCAGTATATTCAATTGTTCATCTGGGCTCATTGCAATACATGCTTGCAATGATGACCTAATATAACTGATAAGAGGAACATAAAATGTGTAAACGCACATAAGCACACACAAAAAAAAATTCTTCTGTGTATAAAATTACTTTGTAGGAGGTAACTCTGTTTTTATCATAGAATTTCTAATTTTCTTTGCGATTAATTTTTGTTCTTTCTGCTTTACTCTGTCTTTATGATATTTTCCGGACAACAAATCCTAAATTAACACGAAATATGATGTAGGCTAGAGATAATTTGAAGAAATAATAAAACATATCACAAGTAAGGTTTAATATGATGTTATAATATTATTGTTGTATAAAAAAATAATAAATATTTTAGTTTACCGCTAAAGGCACGATGCCGGTACATTTATAATCATTTGTGGTATTCGTTTTAAGAGGTTTTTTAGATTCATTTGTTTTGCGCAGACAGTATTTTAATAAATGACGGTCTTCGTCTAATATCTTATTGCTTATAGTTGTTTCCTGTAATTCGTTGATTTCGCGTAATTTTTTATCGAGTTTTAGTCTATAGTTACGTCCAATAGACATCGACGGATGCATTAGATGAATTCGATGCTATTTATAGGTAAAACACACAGTGTAAACGATATAAAAAAACAATAATTTATTTAAAATCATAAAACCGTAATAATATGAGTGCATGCAATTTTGTGTAGTAATTATCGTTAGCAAATAGTTTACACTAATCGGAACACATTTAGTCCACGTATGGTTACATAACAACGGGGGGTGGACGCCATCTGTAGAAAGTTCATCTGGACATTTTTCCGAGTTTTTGGCATGATGTTTAATCACTTTTAGCCGATTTTTTTTCATCTTGATATCCTACGAATTATTTTATCGAGTATTTACAATAAAAGTAATAATAAATTACACCAACACTGCGCTTGATAATATAAAATTATATCGCGTACTACTATGTGCCCAAATAAATAATTCACTAACTATTTTAAACGGGAAATAATTATTTATCTTCAATGATTTAAATTGTGTATACATAAACAATAAACATATAACATTACATGAATTTAAATATACATTATCGGGCGCCTTGGAAACAAAATCAATTCATAAAGTGGTCTACAACTATAAAACCTAAAACGTATTTTTATTTTTTTAAGTATCAAATCATTGGAAGCTGTAGGTAGTACTGGTTTTGTTAAATTCACGGAAAAAAAATTAATTTAAACAACTTTTATTTCTAATGTATCAATTAGAACTTGGAAGCGATAATAATAACTCTAAAACAGATTTATATTACTTGTTAAGTCTACTTGAGATCGACTTAACCAGATTTTTGATTTTATAATTTTAAATTTTTCAAGAATTGAAAAATGGAAATTTTTTAATACTATTTTTTTAAACTTAATTGAATAAAATCATAAATTTTCGAAATATAATCTCAATGAGACTGAATAAAAAATTGTAATTTTTTTTTTTGGGATTCGTATTGTTTCACTACCTAGATCAATCGGTATGTTAAAAATAGAACAAGTCAATACAATATTCCAATATCGCGTGTGCGTTAAAAAAAATACAGACAATTACCAATTGGCAATTTCAGTAATAAATTCACATTAAATTATAATCATTACTATTATTGCCTGTTTGAACAGTGACTATTTAGTGAATATATACATAGTTGTATAAGTCGTAATTAGTAGGTAATCATTACTGACAACACTCACAATATCAATTTTTAGCGATATTTCAGCGTTTAACGTTATTAAATTATTACAACCATATATGTATAATTATTATGCATTATGTTTCAAAAATTTAAATAGGTAAACACTACACTGTCTTAAAACTTGTTTCAAAATTATGGAAAGTAAAAATTATTTAAATATACAATTTTAATAATTTTTATTTCTATTGAAATTTAAATAACAATTACAATAAACTATGACTTATTGGAGTAATTACTAAATATTTTAACCGATAACTGTTAGCCTGTAAAAAATAAAATATTAATTAGGTAGGTATATTATTTGCAATTATAGAAAACGTCTTTAACGGAAATATAGCTGCAGTATAGGTTACACCACGTCGGTCTTCAAATATGCTCAATAAATATTATGACTATAGTAAATTGGTCACTTATTACCTAAATTGTGTAGTCAATATCTACTGTTGTTTTTGTAGTAAATGCTTTTCATATTTTTTAAGCATATTTAAACGTAAAGTAGCTTATACATGAGGTCGACTTGAAGTAGAAAATTTAATAATATAGCACATCATTTTCACCTAAAAGACAATTTATTAATTACAATACATTTTCTAAACACCTTGATACTTTTATCACTATAACTAACGGTAAGTATTAATATTTTTGTAATATTACAAAAAAAAATAATAAAAACATCATTTTTTACTTTAAGACTGTGTATAATATTGTATATAATTATAATTTAATACATGCTATTTTAACAAATATATTATATTAAACATAATATATAATCATGTTTATAGGAAAAATAATGGGAAAAACAATAATTGAGAGTAGAAACAGATGTCATAAGCTCACAACATCACAGTCGTAGAAGGCAGTTATACAAATGAGAAAATAGTTAATGCTAAGGACAAAAAACATATCAAACTAGCGAGCTTAATTAAACGCGTATTGATTGTTAAACAAATATATGTGATAAGAATATATAAAGTTTTATTGATTACACAAACGTATACGTTTGTTCCTACTATTTTACACGTTTATATACTCGTGGACAAATAAAAATCAAACAAAATTCTTAAAGGTTATTCGTTTAAATACTTAAGTGATGTATAAAAATGTATACTATAGCAAAAATATTTGATTTACAAGTAAATACGTAGTTAAATAAATATTAAAATGACATTTTTATTTGGTATGTATTTTTATATATATAAATATATATTAAATTGATGCATACCAGGATTATGTGCCAAATGGATATCAGTATTCAACATGACGACGTTTTCATTGATATGTATGCATTAAAAATAATATTAAATCACAAAACAATTATATTATTAAAAAGTTATCTCTCTACAGATTATACAAACCGCGATACAATATATTATACCCTATGTCGTACTTCCGGTGACACTTAAGACGATTGCGGTCACAGGCATAGTCCTGTAATTAGATATATAAAAGCACTGATCATAATAAACAAATAATGTTAAGGTCCGCCAGGCGTACAGTATCTCTATACGCAATATAAATAAATATTTATATAAAACTCGATTTACGCGTATAGTATATAGATGTTACAATATAGGTAAATATAAATATTAAAAAACCAAACAAATTTTAATAGGTAAGAGAAAAATTATACGAAAGGTCTTGCGAAATACACGTCTATTTATGGCGGAACTTCAAGAACCTTATCGCTCTTCCAAGATTGCCGAACGTGCTGTAAAGTGTGCGTCTCGTTATCGTACGGTCGTCCGTATGGTTCAGATCACCACAATAATCGTCGAAATCACCAGCTCTATTGGAGAATTGCGACGCCGTGATGGGTTGTTCGGTTTTCGCTGCGACTGCACAGCCGACTGGCGGCTTGTCTTCTGGTCCGGCGACAACCGCAGAATTACTTGCTGCCGCGTGACGAGTTCCAGTCACTTTTCGGGCTCTGTGAGCCCATCCTGAGATCTCCCTGGTCAATCCGTTCCGGAGTCGGTGATACTTCATTTCAGTGGACTTCAACAACATAATCAAGTTGCCGAACAATTGCACCTTTTGCATCAGTCTCTGTTCTCGTACAATCTCCGCCGATTCGTCGTCATCGTCGTCCTGCCGCACCGGAGTTATACCCGACGAGTAGTCCGTTTCCTGAACAAAGTTCACTAATTCGTGATCGTCGTTCGTCGAGTTTGGTTGTTGGCCTTTAGTCACTCGACTGCTGTTTTCGTCCGTTTCGTAGACATCTGCATGGGGGTCCGCTGGAGGACCCGTATACTCCCAGTCCGCGTGGTCAGTCTTTTGTAGTATTTCCGTTACCTGCTCGTTTACTTTTTTGGTCACGTCAAAGCTCCACAAAAAATCCACGTGGTTGCAACGCGGACTGTCGACCGGAACGACGTCTATCAGTTTTGGAAGTTGTGATTTCAGTCTCATTATGTCCTGCATACAAAAATAACACGATAATAATATTATAATTGTCGAACAAAATAAAAATACGTAATAAACATTATGGAAAAATTTTCAAAAATGCATACTGTTATATATATGTGCTAAATAGTAAGTAACGTATAATGTTTTCTCTGCTTAAAATATATCATTACAGGTAAAAAAAATTAGGATTTCTAGAAAAATCTCACCTCTAAGTCGGTCAATACATCGTTTTTTCCATATATCAACGCAATGGGCACTTGTATAGATTTTAAGTCATACGTTGGAGGTTCAGTAGAATTATAATGTTGTAAATTCATAGCTGGACCGTAATCATACTGGCTAAAACAGTCTGCGTGATGAATTTTAAAACACAAAAATAAAATGAAAAATGTTATAAAACATAATATTATATAGGTTACATTAGTGATTAATTACCTTTCAATACAAGCTGTGCGAAATGCGTGGAAAGCTTGGCTGATGTTCCTGCTGGAAAATGTTCGATGACGAGTGGTATCAATTTCTGTATAACAACATATGACAAGAAAAAACAATAAAATATATCATAATTCAATAATAATTTCAATGATGGCTTTTTCTCATGTAATATCAATAATTAAATCATAAAATATAATTATTACATGGTCGAAAATATACGTTTCACTACCACACACAGAAGATACAGCAAAAGATATGATTTTTTGACAAAACAGAGTCCGTGCGATTCTTTCTCCATACGTGTTAGTTACTAACAATGATTGCATCCTTGATTGAGGCAAAAACATTCCATTAGAAACCCATTTATACATATTCTAAAGAGAAAACAATTAAATTTAAGTAGATTAGTAAGATCTAATTCGTGTAAAACACAATTTAAAAAACATTTTTATTTAAATTTGATTTCTAATATTTCAAAAATATTAATAAAAAATCACGAAGATTTTTACGAGAATAACAAACTTATATTATGATAATGTATTTATTGTTATTAATTTTAATATTAACGATTCAGTAAGTATAGACCCTTTAAATGAAGACGTTTTAATTTTAATTTTATTATTAATGTACAGACTTATAAACTTAAAATTAAATATAAAAGTACATACGTTTTAATGGTCAAAATTAAAACGACCTCCAGTGTAATGGAAGATATACGATTAAAGTGCAAAGATTTTACTACGCCATCCTAACCTTGGAATATTTAAGTTTTCTTAAGATTATAAATATATCAAATATAATTGTGTATATCAGCTAAAATAACAACATTGCATCTATATATATATATATATTTGTTTGGCAAAAACGCAAAATTTCTATGTAATAATAATGTCGTTCTTGTTTATAAACATTAGTAATTTTATCAACGTATTAAAAATATTAATGATAAAGAGAATCAAACAAAAAGTAATATTATTTGTATTGCCATACGTTTTAAATGATTACTCATTAATTATGAACGATAACTCACATTCATCTTCTTGGCGTACGGAGCGATATGTCTCACAGACGATCTTGTGTTGAACAAGTAGGCGACCGGTGCAAGACTGATTTGCGACCTTATCTTTTGATGGTATTCGTGTCTTTCAGATGCCATAATGTAAAACACGGACGTGCCCATCGAATAACCTATATAATGGAGTTGTCTGGCATTGGTCTTCATTAGAATATAGTCGAACGAAGCTGGCAAATCAAACATTCCGACTTCGTGTAAGCTTTACAACCGTTATTATAGTATATTTTATTATACAGGTTAGGTTATATCACTTATATAAATTATTATTGTCAAAATGAATATAGGTACATTAAAAAAAACACGATCAATTGACCGTAGATACTGCACACGCATAACGTCTCGATATTCACGACGAATAACAATAAAAATAATATAGTTTTACCTAAAATTCCAAAAATCTTTTTGCTTGAAACTTATCGACGAGTGTTTTCTACTATAGGTGTTACCCCGGCAATTGGCCATCCACACGTCGTACCCGGCGTCGGATAGTTGCATCGCTAAATATTTATAATACGTAATTATAATAAGTATACATACGCTTAATAATATTAATAAAGGTAGGCTTTTATAACACCAAAAAACGCAAAAATATACATTTCGATCAAAGAATTTGATTCACTCACGTAACGATATATCGGCCCCGCCGAGTACCCAATCGGCCGAGCTCCCCAAAACGCCGTGGTGTAAGAACACCGGATGGTTTCTGGTGGGTTCTTTTCCGCCCTTGTTTCTCGGGATGCGATGCAACTCCAAGATGTAACCATCGTCCGTGACGACATTGTGTATTTCAACAGTATAACCATTGTTTTTGACAATTTCAACCTGACATGAATTTTAAAAAATCTTAAAATAATAGTACATAGATGTACAAATGTAGTGTACATTATTATGTATATAATTTTATAACCAGGGCTTAGGATTTTATAATTGGACTTAAATCGTTCAAATATGTATACTGTACTTATATAAAACATATCATATACGTTGTACATTTATATGCTCTCAAAAATACCCAACTATGCACTTGTAATATTAGGTTTTATTACTTTTTTTTCATATTGTAAAAAAAAAAGAAATCATAATTTATTAATTATATTTTTTTTTAATTTAAAGTCTCATAAATCATAGTTTAATCTTTTGTTTGGGGCGATACCTGAACAATAAATAAAGTTTAAAATTTATATGTACCTATTTATATTATTTTTAAATAATAAACTATTTATTTTTTTTTAATTTTACAATAAAATGAAAATACCTAAGTTGAATACGATTATAGTGTTGTTTAAAAGAAACATCGAAAGTTTTAAATTTACATGTTAAAAAATGGTTTGAGAATTTATTCAATGTTTTTCTAACAATATTGGTAATTAGTTTAGAAAATATTGTTATAGTTAAACTAAAAACATATTATGTATTGGCTAATTTAAGTAAGTTTTGCTAATTTTATGAAAATATATACTTTTACGGCGTAATTAATATATTACTCGTTTATAGAATATCATCTATTTTATCTTAATTAATGCACTATCACGGTTTTATCTATTCATGTAAACTCGTACTCATATTATCGATTGTAACTAATAAATTAATTATTTTACGATATCTCACATTGTTGAACTAAATTGTGTACGATATGCTAGGTATAGTGAACCCGATAGGTAATGAAATAATAAAATCATAATTTATTTTATACAATCTCTTCTCGATGAAATGATTACAGTTTGTTAATAATACAGAATATTTTTAAAATAATAATCTTTCCGATATTTTCACATAAATCATTTGAAATACGATTAGATATCAAGGCTAAACTTAACTGGTTAGGTTTAATTTATTTGTATAACAATGAACATCATTAGAATATCGAACTTCAGCTGACTATAACATTAACCGGGATTCTTAAATTAATTAATACAAATTTAATTAATTTTTTTGATATGCCGTTGATCGAGTACCAACAGTAAAAAATGTAAATTTCTTCAAAACCGAGATAAGTAAAGTGTATAATTTATTCTAATAGGTACCAACTAATATCGATATATAGTAACAAGTTATTAAATTCTGAATTTGAATTCGACGTATCCGTTGCTCATTAGTAATTAGACAGTTTTTTTTTTTTTTAAACATATGCGTCGGCATAAGCTCGTACGCGTAAGTGTTTTTTGGCATGACGATGTGTAAAGAAGACTATTTTTGGTCTATGAATTATGCAATCAACTGACGACATTGTGGACCATAATAACGCGTTAGTGTTGTGATAATATTATGTTAATTCTAATACGAAATCGAAAGTCGTACGATTTAGTTTATTTTTTTTTTTTTCATCTATACGAGACACGAATTATATAAAAATCATGATAAGCGCATGTATAAATATTTCAATGCCGACGGTTTCGTCATCCGATCGTATTGTAAGTGTACGCGTTTGAACTTTTCGTCGGCCGCGTCGATCGATCATGATAATAACATCAATTATTGTATTAATATTTTTTTAATGTCGTAATATCGGTGATTTTTCGATCGCGAGAATACGACGTGCGCAACAGTACCTAATATTAATTATTGATGATAGTTGTTACTCACGGTGGACGATCTGACATTTTCGGACATACTTGAAAACGGAAAAATCGCGGTCGGAATCAACGCCGTACGTGCATCGTGATGATGATGTTGTTGGTTATCTAGTGGTATGGTAAAAACGGATGCGATGAGAAGGAGAATAGGAGAAATCCAACTACGACCGGCGTATCGCGTTCACAAGAACACCGCGCGCGCCGCGTTTACGACCACGACAGTGCAAGTCGCGATGTGCACTGAAGCCTATTGAGCTCGTGTACAACACATTATTACTTCGTGTATAATAATAATAATAATAAATGATAATAATAATAAATTGGCCGTGTTCGGTTAGTTAATATATTTTAATAATAATAATAATAATAATAATAATTCATTCGACTCGCGCCGCGTACGACGACGAATAATAATAATAATATAATATCATCGTAACAGTGTTGCAGAGGTGCACACGCGTCGGACGAGATTTGGCGACGACCGAGCCAAGTAACGAGTTCCGCGATAGGCCGCACTCGTCACGATTATTATTATTATTGTTGTTGTTGTCGTCGTCGTTTTGCGACCGCATTTCGCGGTGTAGGTAGCGCCAAAGTCGCGACACGATCCCAACCTACCTACCTACCACTTACCTAGTCAACAAAGACGACCGTGCAGGTGCAAGCGATGTGCATTATGATTAATAATAATTATTGTTATATTAATAATGTCAATGTGTATACCAACGTTTCTTAAACCGTGTTTTTATCCGCGGAGCTTGAGAAATTTTTTTTCAAAATCTTCAAGATTACTGTAAAATATCTAACTAAAAATTAGTAGTGGTTAGTGGGGAAAAAAATATTCGTACAACTTTCATCAATAAAGCCCAATGTTAAGAATATTTCTAATGATAAAAAAAAAAATTCATTCATCTCATTAAAGTTATGATTTAGTCTAATATTATTTTTATTTTAACATATTTTATGAATCGAATACCTTTAAGAGGACGTCGTACCCGCATATGTTATCTCCGTCTTACAAATGCGTAACATAACAAATATTACGTTCAGAAGATCACGGTTAACTCCTTTAAATTGAAAATTAGAGTGAATTGACCTCTTTTGAAGTTTAAAAGTGAGATTATTATCTAGGGCATCTCATGGGCTTTTTATTATGTTTTAATTTTAAAGCGAGTTATGTGTGTTTTAAGACGTGCAAGCAATTTACAATTTTAAAATACTCATAACATGCTTTAAAATTAAAATATAATAAAAAGCCTAGGAGATGCCCTAGATAATAATCTCACTTTTAAATTTCAAAAGAGGTCAATTCATTCTAATTTTCAAGCTGAAGGAGCTAAACGTGATCTTCTGAGAGTACTATTTGCCATGTTACGCATTTGTAAGACGGAGACAACATATGCGGGTACGACGTCCTCTTAACGCATAGGTATTGTATTATTAGTTATTACCTACGTAAAATAATTATAATTTTTATTAAAAATAATCCTAAAAAAGCTGAAAAAAAAATATATAAAAATGAACGTCAAAAAGAGTTCCACGGATAAAAAAGTTTAAGAAACGCCGATGTGTACCTACGTATGGTACGCAATAATAATAATAATATGATAGTCGTGACGAACACTCGTTTCTTTAAACGCCGCGTACTGCAGTGGATATATGGTTACACAGCAAATGCAGTAGCATGTAATTTAATCTATTAGTGCCCATTACCACAATAATATTATGTTATTTGATGATTATTGCAATCAAATGCATTAAATATTATTATCATTATTATACATTTACAAACAGACGGAAATACGATTGTGTTGGTGTTATGACCATTCGACACGTACACAATATATAATATTATATCAGATCAGATCTGTACAACACTACAACCGCTACGTACGCGCGTAAGTCGGTGGCGACGGCGGCGATGACTCACCGAGTCGCGCGTCTTTATCTCTAATTTTATTGTTGGTCTTTCGTTCCGACAAAACGCGTATGTATACTATATAATATTATGTAATATGTAATAATAATATGACTTATGAGTTATGAGGGGCCAGTGCCCGCCGAATACGTTGACGACTCGTCGTGCGTTGTAATTCATAAAATGTTTATTGTACGTTTTATCAAAATATGCGTTATTATCGTTATCTTTATTATTATTATTATTATTATTATTATTATTATTACTGAATCGAAGTGTAGAATAATGATAATAAACGAAGGCCGATGTCGTGTTGCGGCGACGACAGCGATGATTTCGTTGCAGGAAACCATTGGCATCGTTTGTGGGTTTCTAAAATGACGATCAAGAATTGTATGCGTTTTTTGCGAAAAAAAAACTTTCAAACTCATTTAAAAGAGATTCGAATTGTCATTATATTCGCGGTGAAAGTGATAGATCTGACAAAGAACAATAATTATTTAAAAAAATAAAAAAAAAATTATTTTAGTATTCACTAAATCTGCCTAGTGATCTATGTCGTTTCGTTTTTCTATACACGGGGACAAGCCAAAAAAACCGTCGTATTTTAATTGTTTTTGATTTTAAATCAACAGTCTGGAACATCTAGTGCGTAAAACGCGAAACGTCGGAGAATGTTTTTTAAACCTTTAAATGTTTACAAAAACAGATTAAAACATTTAAAACAAAAAATTATTTTTAAAATTATTCTATATATTATGTCATACCAGTGGCATATTTAGGGAGGGAAATGAGAGAGATATATATCCCCCTTAACTTTTTTTAACATTTTTTAGTTTTGTAAATGATAAATAAATAAATGATTCATTATTTAATATGTTATATTTTATAATTATAAGGTTTATGTACCTACTATGTACAGATATAATATATATTAGATGTGTAGTTATAATAAATTGATAGTATCTTCATGTATTTCGAGTGGAGGTAGAAAAATTATTTTAGTCATATCTCCTCTCTCAAATAAATCCTAAATACGCCACTGTGTCATATTTTATTTAATATGATTTTATTTACCTTATAGAAAATCCTCGATTTAAACGCATACAAAATACAATATTTTACATTAGAATTTTTTATCTATACTATAGTTAGATATTCAGAAAAAAAAAAACTTTGTCTGTGAAATTCAAATGTTAAAAAATGAAAATCGAGAATATTAATAACACATAGAATTATTAATACAGTAATTATAAAATCCACAAATAAACGACAAAAATTAGTATGCACTACAAGTGCGCTATTTTAATTAGTGAGAAATTCCAAAAATTCTTAAACCTATTTAAAAAGTTTTATAAACCCGAACTTTATACAGTGTGTTCATGCTAAGAGGTACCACTAGATATTTCAGTTCGATGACTTTGTATTGAAATGGGGATTTCACTGAATGATAGATAACACTTAACTACTTATTCTCAGACAAATTTCAAACTTTTAACACTTTCGATACGCGCATGCGCGATACAACTTACTTTTTTTTAAATGGTAACACCAATTTTTTTTTACATATTCGGATAGAGTATTTTTTTCTACACAATTTACGTTTAAAAAAAATTTTTCTGATTACAAAATTAGCATATGAAACTTAACAAAGAAATTTAATATTTATACGAGTAAATTGTTTTTGACGAAATTTAAACTAAATTCAACTTATTGTTACTTATTGATATCCAATATTGTTAAATACTTGTTTGCACACAGATAAGATATAAATAAAGACTTTTTTATCATAATTTATTATCATTTTTTTCATTCATTCTTCTGAGATAAGATAACTAATTGAAAATAATGAATACTATAAAATTGTATAGGTACACACATTGGCGCAACTAGGGGGGTGCACTGGGGACTTGTGCACCCCCCAAGTTTGGAATGTGCACCCTCGAAAAATAAAATCCATTCTTTAAAAATTATTGTAGGTATCATAATGTATATTATTGAGAAAAATAGTTTCCTATTTGCTATTATGTTCCCTGCTATACATAATGTATAGTGTATACATATATATTTTATACCGACACTATATATAGTCTTATTTTATAATGTACTAATAAACAATAAGTTTTGACTTATAACGTTTTTATACGGGTCTCATAAACGAAGTTATTCGTAATTCGTGGAACAACAATTATAATGATATTATACTATATTTATAATATAGCTGTTACTTTTTTTATTTGTGTAATGTGAACGGTAATGGGAGTAATAATGTGGGGGGTGTGGGGGCAAAGCCCCCACGGCTCTGTGAGCTCTTCACTATTTGTGCACCCTCAAAAGTATTGGTCTAGTTGCGCCTATGGGTACACACTATAAATTTGAAATAAAGATTTAATAATTTGCAATTAAGTTCTACAGTTTTATCTAATGAATTGTTCGAAGTTTCCACCTTGATGTTCCAAACATGATTCCAAACGTATTAAAAATTCCCTTGATGTGGCAGCGTTTATTTGTTCTTCTTTCAAATTATTACAAGCCAGTCGTATTTTGTTTTTAAATCTTGGAGATTAATAAGTGGGTCCACATATACAACATTTTTTAAATGCCCCCATAAAAAAAAATCCATTGGGATCAAGTCTAGAAATCTTGCTGGCCATGGAATTACTCCATGGGTACCAATCATCGATTAGGAAAAATATCATTTAAATATTGTTTAACAATGATGGCGTAGTTGTATGCTGGTGCACCGTCTTGTTGAAAATACATATTTTCTCGCGTGGCTAATGGAACATTTTCTAACTGCAGTAACGGTAATTGATTAACAAGAAAATCTAGATATCTTCTACCTGTAAGTGTTCCGTCGTAAAAATAAGGATCTACAAGTACTCCACCAATTAATCCACATCACATATTTTACCCAAAACTGTCTGAAAGTTAGTTTCTCGGGACCAGTGTGGATTTGTATCGTCCCAAAACCTATTATTTTGTTTGTTCATTATACCATTGTTTGTGAATTTAGATTCATCAGTGTACAAAATACTATTATAAAATAAATTGTCGATTTCAAATTGATCACTAAACCATGACAAAAATTGTAATCTACATTCAAAATCTCCGATTCGTAAATGTTGGATAAGCTCAGGTTTATAAGGTTTATACGGATGCATTTTGTTTTTTTTTTCAAAATGTTATGTACTGCACCAACTAATATACCAATTTGTCGAGATACATGTCTTATTGATGGACGTGGATAAGCACGTATGTAGGCCATTATACCTGAAATTCAGTGTCTTCATCAAAATTATTTGATCTAGGCTGTCGTTGTCTATTTTGATTGCTAGGAAATTGACAGTTTTCATTTAATCCACGTAAAAGTCTATGGACATAATTATGATATGGATAAAACTTATCTGCGTACACCCGAGCTGCTTTTCGGGAACTATGATTACATTCGCCAAAAATTAGAATAAGTTTGACTTTTTCACTGTTATTCATTTTAATAAATTTCTTTTATGTAAAACAGTGCATTAAAGCAATAACAATTTTTTCAGAAAAAGATGTGATATCTAACCAGAATAAAACACTATGTTACATAAATAGCAATTGTCACAAGACTAGTTTGAAATTATGAAAATAATTATTACTAGTCAGCGAAAATAATTTATCAACATTTATTGATAAAATAAATGTATAACGAACAGGATTTACTATCTTAACTATTGGCAAATTTTATCAAAGTTATTTTTATTATCTTATCTGTGTGCAAACAAGTATTTAACAATATTGGATATCAATAAGTAACAATAAGTTGAATTTAGTTTAAATTTCGTCAAAAACAAATTACTCGTAAATATTAAATTTCATCGTTAAGTTTCATATGCTAATTTTGTAATTAGAAAAAAAATTTTTAAACAGAAATTGTTTAGAAAAAAATACTCTATCCGAATATGTAAAAAAAAAAATTGATGTTACCTACCATTTAAAAAAAAGTAAGTCGTATCGCGCATACGCGTATCGAAAATGTTAAAAATTTAAATTTTGTCTAAGAATGTGCAGTTAAGTACTATCTATCATTCTGTAAAACCCCATTTCAATACAAAGTCATCGAACTGAAATATTTAGTGGTACCTTTTAGCGTGAACACACTTTATATTATAATTACATACATGAGAATAATGTTAACTGTTATCACTTGTATTTAAAAGTGAATGTTACTACCTATTTTAAACTCGTACTGCGATCGTTTTTAAATTTAGTGAACGTAAATCCGTTAGTCGCGTTGTGAAAGTGAACAGAACATGTTCGTTTTCAAAATGTATCTTCTAAACCTGAATATATGGGTCGAATTTACTCCATAATTGCGCCTCTAAGTTATTAAAATAACGAAACGCTCCCAAATAATCATTTTTCAATCCATACAATAACAACTTAAAAATTTAAATCACGTATAGATGATAAACTTATATATCTTGATGATTTCATCAATTCTAATTATTAACTAAGCTTACTTGAAGTGAACGCATATTCATATTTCTAATACTGTTCTCAGCTTGTCTCCTTATTGCAAACTGCAAAGCGTTTACGTATTATCAATTATAATTTAAACAATGTACACAAAAACCAAGATAGACAACGTACGTGCGCTTATAACTCTTTGATACTAAACACCGATCATCATTCATCATCATACAATACGTTTTGTTATACGTAAATGAGAATTATTTGATGTCTCTGTCCTGCAAAGGTATACAACATTGCAAATTTCACGTTCACAATAACCCATTATAATCTGTTATTGTTTAGTGAATCTCTATATATGACTTAATAGATAACTATTTTAATTTTGAAATTTACAAAGATTTCAAAACTAATTTCGTTGTTCATTCTAACAAGAATGGCAATTAAACCTTATACAAGATGCCCTGCAGATGCCCTTTAGTAGTTAATAATCTCGCTTTTAAATTTCCGAAAAAATCCGCCCACTCTAATTTCAAAATAATAACAGAGTAAAATACTAAAACGAATTATTGTGAACGTAAATGTTGTCGTGTTGCGCGTTTATAAAACAGAGATAACACGCGCGTCCTCTTCAAGTCAACCTTCTTCCGGTGCACGGGTATTCACGCAACGTTTATACATTTTGCGACTGACTATTATTGCTGCGAATGCGTTTCGATTTGCACGGTAAACGTTCGTTTGAAAATCACTGCAGAGTGTACCTATATGTATATATATTATTATACTATTATTGACTTCCGTCGTTTTCCTACGATATTTTAAACAGTTCGCGATAACACGATTCGCGCGTACCTATTGGGAATGGCAGAATTATTTCCATTAGGTACATACACGTAAGTATTATTATAATATATAGGTACATTATTATTTTATCTTCTACAGATTTCACTGAAATAAAATGATATTGCACTGCTGCGCGCAGGACACACGCAACGACGAGCAACAAGTAAAATATTATAATTCACAATAAAATTACATTTATTAATGATAAATACGTTGAAATTCAACTTCGCGACAACAACATAATATATATAATAATATTTCATAACATAAACGATTACACGCGACTCACACTACATAACAGTGACGTCTCGATCGCGTCTTTGCGCAAACATCATAAAATGTATTGTGAGGAGCGTTTGACGCGTACGTGAAAAAAATTCAAATATAAAAAAAATTGTTGACATAACTTGATAATATATATGTAAAAAAAAAAAAATAATAACACTGCTTAAACGATAAACCGCTAAATCGTACACCTACGGCTCGGGTAAGTGCGGTAGTACGCGTAACTAATAATATTGTAACCACGATAATAATTATTATGATAATATTATAATATAGATAACTATATAACTACGCCGACTGCAGCCGTACATCGCATTTCGACGAGGGGGCCGAGTGATGCGCGCGCAGACGACGAGTGCAGCACGGCGGTCGCGATGACTACAATTTTATTTAACGCGAATATTTCTGAACGGCCGCGGACGCGTCACTTCCAGAACCAGAAAACCCTGCTCACGCGGCCCACGGTGGCGTTCATCGCGTTCCCGACGGTCCGGTCGGCCTTGAACAGGCCGTAGTTGACGTAGTTCTGGGCCTTGCCGATGCCCGCGACCACAGACTGTTCGGCCTTGCCCACGCCGCCGACGACGAAGTTCTCCGCCTTGCCCATGCCGCCCACGACGAAGTTCTCCGCCTTGCCCACGGCCCCGGCCACCGAGTTGCCGGCCAATGCGATCTTGTCGTTCACCAAGACGGCCGTCTGCTTGACGCGCGCCTCGGCGCCGGTGGCCACGTCATCCGCCCACCCGGTGATCTCGTTGGTGATCTCCTCCCGGAGCTGTCCGTACTTCTTTTCGGCCGCCTGCGCGAACTTAATGACGCCGCCGAACAGCAGCTTCTGCTGTTCCCGTTCCCGTTCGAACACGGCGGCGTCGCGCTCGTCCACCGGCTGAGGCATGGTGCTCGCGATGATCGCGTCGAGGTTCTCGGCGAAGAACTCCAGGCTGGGCGCTAGGTTCATGGCGCCCGACAGAGGTTTCAGCTCTGTCTGTTTTATCGGAGGTCGATCGACTGGCACGACGGCGTCCACGGTGACGGCGCTGGTCGCGGGCCCCGTGTACGTCCATGCCAAGTCGTCGGTCTTCAGCAGTATTTCCTTGATCGGATTGTTGATCTGTTCGGTGACGTTGGAGCTCCACAAGAAGTCCACGTGGTTGAAGTACGGGCTGTTGGCGGGAAACGCGTCCAGGACCATGGGCAGTTGAGCTTTCAGTTTCAACACGTCCTGCGTCGGCGAGAAAAGAAAAAAAAAATGTTTAGTAAACGATCGATGTGACCATTAGTTGTTGCACGGGGGTTGTCTGTGCGAAAGTCATCTCTCGTCTGTGGGCACCCGAGAGAGGAATTTTGGGGTCAAATAAATTCCCAAAAAAATATTTTTATGTCAGATTATCATAATATTATAGTACGTTGATTTATCAGAATAATATATGTCACAAGAAAGAATGATGATGTTTCATTTAAAAAAAAAAAGTTATATTAAAATTAAATTCAACGGTAATTGTTTATTATTTGTGTGTAGCGAGTGTAAGAGTAGTGGAAAAATATGTAAAAAACGATCAAAGCTGCTCACCGTCGTATCAGCTAGTATGTCGTTTTCGCCGTATATCAGTGTGATGGGCACTTTGATCGATTTCAAATTGTACGTTGGCGGTTCGGTGGAATTGTAGTGACGCAAATTCAAAGTGCGACCGTAATCGTACTGTCCGAAGCTGTCTGTAACCAAACGAAACGGATTAAAAATCAGAAAACGTCACACACACCGTACTGGTGTGTTTTTCGTCACAGGTACCTTTCAATATGAATTGTGCGAAGTGTGCTGCGAGGTTGGAAGATGTACCCGCCGGAAAATGTCCCATGATGAGAGGAATCAATTTCTGTAACGAAAAAAAAAAAAATAAAATAATCAACAACTTGCGAGAGAACTCGTTATCATTTCGACAACTGTCGCGATTTGTTTATATTATTACGAGATCATAAAAATATCATAATTACGGTGTCAAAGTGATACGGGTCGCTGCCGCACACAGAAAATATGATGCATTTTTCGCAAATCATTTTCTGTGTAATTTTTTCTCTACATATAGTTGACGCCAAAAACCTTTGCATACCCGATTGCGGCATTAACATCCCTTTCCACATCCTTTGAAACATGATCTATAAAAATTTGCGACATTATTTATTAATATGTAATAATAATTATTATAATGTAGTTGTAGTATTGAAATAATAAGTACGACAATCCGGAACAAAAATATCAGGGGTCGATTAAAATCTAGTCTAGATTACTATCGATGCTTCAATCCTTATTATATCCATCGGACTATTAACTATTGATAGCACGAAAAACGATAGTTATACGAATAGCTTTAAAGAAAAAAATCATAACACAAAAGCATAGACATTTTGGTAAAATTTCTCCGGATACGTCAAAATTCACAGCTAAATAGTTATATCATAATTAATAAAGGTGATTAATTTCTAGTAACCATAATAGTAATTTATTTTTAAAATATTTCTGTTATGTTTTGTTCTTTACTTTAAACATTTAAGGTGAACAAAATAAAAATAATAGAGTAAATAAGATTGTTTTCCATTTAGATTTATATTCAATTAACATTATTATTATTTATAACATAACTATTACTGACTTAGTAATGTTTGTATGCGATTTGTAATTATTATATACTTATGTACTTACGTTCATTACTTTCGCATATGGAGCAATAAATCTTAAAGACGATCTGGTGTTTGATAAAAAGGCTACAGGCGCAAGACTAATTTGAGATCGGATTTTGGGCTGATATTCTGGTCTCTCTGAAGCCATAATGAAAAACACACAACTACCCATGGAATAACCTATATAGTGGAGTTGTTGCGTATTCGATTTCAAAAGAATATAATCGATCGTAGCTGGTATATCGTATTTCCCGACTTCGTGTAAACTGTAACCATATATAACAAAGATGTGGTAACATTAAAATAAAATTTAAATTTAGACAGATAAGAACGTTTTGAGTAAAAAATAAATTTCTTGACAATAAAGTTTTGATTCTATATCTATCCAATGCAAAGTCGTACATCAAGCAACTCTTTTATAAAAGAACATTTATTTCCTAAATAAATTTAAGTCGTAACAAAACAACATTTTTAAAAGAATAAAATATTTTTTAATTTCTTTACGTATATTAATGACATACATATTTAATTCTTTATTCCAAAACAGAATATATTTAAAATACTTGTATTTTAATTAATAAAAATTGAATTTTGGATGAGAAGATCATGATAAATTATAACTTACAAGTATTCAAAGCTTTGATGAACGATGTAGAGAACTAAAGGTTAAGCAACAAAATGTTGGTCCTTTTATATATAAACATTTTAACTTAAAATACTTGTAATTATATAAATACTCATTCGAAATTTGATTTTTGTACATTAAAATACTCGGAATATTTTTTTTACTTTAAAATATTAAAATTAAAGATGTGTTTTATTTTTGAAAACAGTAAAAATTTAAAAAAATAATTACTGTAAAAAATTGTAAACAATATTGTTTTAAACGACTTAAAATTAAGTAAAATAAATATTTTCATGAATGTTAATAGTTTTAAAAATGATATAATAATTTAATAATATCAAATAATAAAATAGTAACCATACCTAAAATTCCAAAATGATTTTTGTTTGTAAGTCATCGAAATATGTTTTCTACTGTACGTATTTCCGCGACAGTTGGCCATCCACACGTCGTACCCGTCGTCGGCGAGTTGCATGGCTGTATACGTAATATATATATATAAAAAAAATAATATGCGTTTATTTTATGTATTTCTTTTATGTAAGTTCTTAGGTTCACGAAATATAATTGGATGTAATACTTACGCAACGACATATCGGCTCCAGCAAGTACCCAATCGGCTGATGTACCGAGAATCCCGTGATGGATTAATATCGGATGGTTTCTGGTAGGCTCCTGTCCGTTCCTGCTCCTGGGGATACGATGCAACTCAAGGATATAGCCATCGGCCGTGATAACATTATGGACTTCGACGTCATAACCATTGTTTTGAATTATTTCAACCTATAATTCGTAAGGGACAATATTAATTCTATAATATACTTATTACTAAAATATTAAATTATAAATTTCGAAATTTACAATTCTTAAAAACATATTTATGCCATACTCATCATATTCAGTTAAACATTATATTTTTTATTATTTTTTTAGTAAGTCATAAACAATCGATATTAAATTGACACATTAATTATAATAATATAGAATAAATCACAAAAAAAACATGACAAAAAAAAAAAAGAATGAAGTCTTTGATGGCTCTTTCTGTAAGTATTATGTGTATTTATTAATCATAATTTTGCATATATCATAACACAATTTAGGTACGCTTCGAGCATCTGTAAGGATTACTGGACATTGATAAAGTAGAGAAGTTTTAAATAAGTGGATTCGATTGAAATGGTATTTATGACTATGGAATCTTTTAAAAAACCTTGGCTTCTACAAATAATAACAATTTATAATATTAAATGATATATGAGTTTAACACGTTTGATATGTAAGAAGGTATATTTTTAGTTTTTTATTGGAAATATTTAAAAAATTGAATTGAATTTATATTTATAATTTGTTTATATTTCCTCTCAACTTATCTTCATTTTAAATTGAAAAAAAAAATATTCTTATAATATAATGATGGAAAATTGAATGTTTGATCGAGTGTTCGTCGTTAATATAATGGACAAATAAATCTTATCTAAAACAGTTGTTTGATTAATAATATTATGGTAATGGTACGTTAATTGTCAATAAACAACAGCGTCCTATTGTTGTTATTAATAATGCGTATAACGTCCTATAACATTTGTAAATTAAAACTGTAATAAATCTAATAAGGTAAAAGGTCGTTATTTCTTTGTTACTGTATAGAGTATTTGCTATAGCAAATCGTCTATATTATATTACATTCCTACACGAAATATTTTATTTAATTAAATTAAAATTGAATTATAAACTGAGTAAAAACTGATACCACGGAGAAAAGTTTAGTTATTTGTCTAAATTATGCATACTAACCAATTTAAAAATGTTTTAAATGTAGTTATTCTATATACTTACCTAGCAGTCATGATAATACGCACAATATGAATCATATTACTCGTTTTTATTGTTTTGGATAAAAGTTTAAAACAGAAAAAATTAAAGTATTGGCTTTCAAAGAACTTAAAAAAATATTTACAGTGTTTATAGGTATACTCACTGTAGACAAGCTGTAGTTTTCGAATAAGTTCATGGCAGACGTCGTTGGAGTGTTTGTCGTCAACGTAATAATTGTCGGTGCCAACAATAGATTAACGAATAACTGCTGGGCTTGAGGTTTGTTCCTAAGGAAGGAAATGGCAGTTTTTATATTTAACATATTGACATCCGAAACAAGAACAAAATTGTTAAGTCAATGTTCACGAGTACGAGTATATTAATAATACCCAAAATTGAGTATAATAAAATATAAAAAAGGAAATTGATGACAATCGTGTCTAAAAAAAAAAAAATAAGGGAGATTAAAAACAATAACGATTCTCCGGTATTTATATTCAACAGCCGACCGCGTTATTAAATCGATAACGGTCGTCTGCCGTACTTATACCAGCTTGATTTCTCATCCCATGTATGCATATATCAAAACTATATTAGTATATTATTACGATTGTACGTCATTGTAACGCGCATGGTTTGTAATATTATTGTTGAGGTTTTTTAATCTCGTTTACTTGTATATGTTTATGAATGAGTCACTCGCATCTGTTATTGCACACCGAGGCGGAGGCTGGGCAGTTAATTCCGGAAGCGATAATACATATTATTTATACTCGTCGCATGGCACTTATTACGATAATGAGTAGTACGTCGGTAAAAACTGTGATCTATCATCTGTATCGATGAGCGTTATGAGAGTTCGAACAGATTTTAAGTTAAAGTCCTTCAATTGTAAATAAATTATCAAAATTCATAAATTGATCGTACCTCTATAGGGTGCTATTGAAGTTTGAACAATAGTCTTCTACCAATACGAAATTTCAAGTATAAACATTTTTAAAAATTCCAGGAATGAACTTATCACGATTACTTATAATTAAAGAGCTTTAAATTACAATTTGTTCAAAGTAATTACTGATTTGACCGTGCAGGTATAAGGGATAAAGTTGCTACCTAAACTTCAACAGCTCTCCACTGAAATATAGTCAACTCATAAATTCCGGAACGAGCTTATAATTACTTATAATTAACGGGCTTAACTTACAATTTGTTCCAAAAGATTTTGTAATGCCAAGGGGGTTTTTTGGAGGGGAGGGCATCTTCAAACCTGTCAATGACGCGTGGTTCGCTAATTCGTCAACCTAACCAGTAAACTTAATTGTAGTTTCCACGCATATATTTATATAAACTAATATTTCAAAGCAGCCAATATAGAACCAAAGGTCAAAATAAATGTCTATTTGATTTAAGAAAAAAAAACTTTTGCTAAAATTGTCGGGAAACATTATAAGAATTACTCAATACTTCAATGAGTTAAATATATATATAGTATAACATACGAATGGGCATACCCGTAGATTATATTATAATTTATATACTATCTAACCTTAATGGTTTTTCCTTTTTCTTTTTTACACTAATGAGCTGCACATAAGTCAATATAACATAATATTTTATATTATAAAACAACGGCAATCATTTTTTTATTTATATATTCATAACAGAATTAAACATTTTTAAAAAACTAACCTTCCCATACAGCATTTTATAATATCTCACAGCAATTATTCACGACGGTCATTTTTTTCTATACCTAACTTAATTCGATATAAATATGTATTTATCGTGTTTTAAACTGTATTTAATGACAAAATGTATTAATTATATTATTTATTTTCAATATTTTATTTAAAAATTTAAAAATAAATCGCTAGCAAAATATTAGCAATAATTAATAGTAATTATACTTACGGTTTTTTCCGATATTTTAAAAATATTAACAATATAATATGATGATATGTTTCATGGTATTTTGGTGAACAGTTAAATTTTCACGAGACTAGTTATTATACTAAGATTTTGTTGAAGACTAAAAATAGACATTAATTTTTAGAGTAATAATTATGTGTTCTGAAATATTTTGAAATGTAAAAAATATTTACTATAAAATAATCTTGGTAATAATTATTATCTAAACATAAAATACAAATTATTGATACCTATTCTCGTCTGTGTATACCTACATAATGCTACATCGTTTGAATTATAAACACAATTATTTTATTTTTTTATGTGTACGTCTGAAATCTGCATTATATCATGTCAACATATTCTGTATTGAGATTTGTAATTAGATTACATATTGAGTGATATTAAATCATATACATTATATTTAACGGCTTGCAAATGATATACAAAACGTGCAGCTGTAGCCGAAAAAACAAAAAAGAAGTGCATTGAGTAAACTTCGAATAGACAGTATCAAATGTTACACACTGTACCCCCTGCATCTATATGCAGTTTACAATAAGTAATAAACGCATTTATTTAAATATAAAAGAACGTGTGTATTACTTGCGTTATTTCGGTTATTATGCAGAAGATTAATACATTTCATTTTTATAACATTAAATAGTATATTATACTTATATATGCAGATTAGCTATCATGAATACATTTTTTGAGTGAAAGTATACAACACAGTTAGGAGAAATGTACACAGTCTATAAAAATACTGCAAAAATATAAATGTTTGAGGTTTTTAACGATACAATAAAATATTTTAATTAGGTTAAAGCTTTATTTTCGTTGGTTAATCAATAGACTTTACGCGTATAAAAAAAAACTGAGACAGAAAAAACTTACTGTTTTTAGACTATTTGAATAAAAATAAAAAATATTATAATTATGCACCACATACTATTATTACTTACTTACTATGTTAACTATGTAGACAAATAGGTCAATGTATAAGCGTAATATTGTAGGACGAGAATAAATACGTCTATGCAAAATATATTATTATGTACATTTTGTAAAACTTGACATCGAAAATATAATATTATGGGAAATATTAAAATTAAAATAATTGTTACATTAACATCGGTGATGTCGAAATATGTATTTTAAAAATATAGGTTTTTAATAATATTCATTGATCACGAAAATATTTTTGAAGCGATCATTTAAATAATTATTTTTACGGCGAAAATGATGCAATCAAAATAACATAACTCCTTATTTTAATCAACTTATTACAAAATGCATAATTAATATTTATCGATAATCACTTTATATTATATAATATAATAATAGATATGAAATAATTAAAATACTCATTTGTATAATAAATAAAACAGCGGGAAAGTTGAAATTTGTGTATAAATAATATTAAGTAATTCCAGTTTGTGTTGACAAATGATCAAATTTTTCTTTAAAATTTTTGTATGTTTATTGAATCTAACTATTTTTAAAGATCTTTACTGTCTAAAATACTGTAAAACTTTTTCCGTATTTTAATTTAAATATTAAGTTAATAAAAACTTGACTGAAAAAAGCATAATCCTGAACCTATACCAACAATAAATTATTATTAAAGGGATCATACGAAATAATATTGATACTAAATTAATATTCCGATATTGAGCTATTGTCTAATAAAGACATACTTTACTACTAGTTTTAAATTGAGATGAAAGTTCTTTTATTTTTTTTTTGCACAATTTATAAGGTAAATATTTATAGTAATAATTAGTGACAATTATTCTACGATTTGTACATTATATTGTTACGATGTCTGTCGGTTAGTGAAGAATAAAGAAGTCTTCTATTATTGAAAGCACTTGTGCAATTTGAAACTTAAATTAAAGAATCGTATTATACCTACTCAATAGTTCATTAATCAAATATATGTATTTATGGGGTTATTACTCATTCATCATTAAAATAAGAATCGTGGGAAGAAAAAAATATAACCATATTATAAGAAAATAATAGCAAGATTAGCAGAACACGTTCAAAAAAAAAAAAAAAATAAGATAATTATTATTATAATAATATATATTATGTTATATAAGTCTAAATTCTAATCGCAAATCAGTATAATATTAAAATATACATTTCAATATTAAAATTTTAACTGGCGAATATAGTCAGAAGACTGAATTATTATATAACCGTAAAAAACGGCGATAAGTCAATAAAACATGAATTGCATATTTATTTTATATATTATATATATTATTATAATGTAATTTACAACGTGTATTTTGAAAAGTATAAAATGTGCGATTTTTGTCAGACTAGTATAATTGCAATAGGTATTGAGTTTCTGACTTAATTAATAATGTATATTACGTTCAAAGGGTAATAAAATTGTGATATTATTATAAAGCGAATTCTTTCAGTGGTTACTCACAATTTAATCACATTATTTTTACGTATAATAAATAATAATATAGTATATACACTATACATAATGATTCACTAAACATACTCAAAACCATTTTTTTTTCGGAACAAAAAAAAATTTACAACAAAAAAATGTTTATTAAAATAACCGCTTTTAATTTTTGTTATTATAACCATATCTATAATAATGAAATTATTCTTAATAAAAAAATTCAATATTGAAAAAAAGTAAAAATTAAAATAATACTTTTAGAATTAACTTACCACATAATATATGAATTGGAATTTATTCATATATAGTGTGTAAATATAGATACAATTAATTGTATAACATGAAATAAACCAGTTAGTATTTTATTAAAAACTTTATTTTTACTTCTTTGATAATATATATTTTCAATTTCATATCTCTTAGCAAAACATTTTTCCTAAATATTTAAAAATCGAGAAAATTGCTCATCTGTATAAGAGATTTAGATCATACCTCATCATTGAGTAAATAGTTACAACGTTTATAGTTCAACTGTTACGATATCAATTATTAAATTATGTTTAACACCCTTTAGAATTGAACTCTTAGTTATAGTTATAATAATATGTATATAATATTTTTATATTTAAAATACTAAGTTAACTGATCGCAGTAAATTGCACAGATCAAATATGTCTAAATTTATATTTGAAAATTAGTTGAGAACCGTATAAATAATGAAGTGTAGTAAATTAAATTAAAAATTATCAAATTAATTACAACGATAAGCCAAAATAATCATACAAGTACTTCATGAACATTTTTATTTTAGATCTATAGTATATATTACATAGTTATACGCGTTTTTGTCGGTTACAATATTTTAATAACAAACGTGAAAAAAATAAAACCATTATTAAAACATAAATCCATATAAATTCTATAGTAACACTAAAAAAAAAAATCAACAAAGAAATTCGAGCACCAACCTTGCGTAAAGAAAAGAAAATATATTGCGAAACTTTCAACTTTATATTGATCGTCATTATCTACTATTCAAATTTTTAGTTATTATTTTTATTTTTCTTTATTTTTACTAAAATTTGATTCGTACGTACTCACTGTATTGTATAATATTGGTTTGAAGTTTAGTAATCCAAATGGAATTTATAAAATGAATTTACACAATTTTATGCGTGGAAGTTCTTTAATATACATCAAATGTGTAATT